AAAAAAAAAAGGCAAAAACAAAAAAATGACAAAAGCACAACAAATTTACTAACACTTTAACTAAATTTAAATTAAAACAGAAAATATAAATATATATAATGAAGTGAAATTAAACAACTTTAATGACAATTGTTTTCTAAAATTTTTAGAAAATAAAATAAATAAATAAATTGTATAAAATAATTACTTCTCTTATATATACATATATATGTAAAAATAATTTCAGTTAATTATTTAATAAATTTTATAATTTATTTTTTAATAATTAATATATATTATATATATATATATATTCATTATAAAAAATAAAAAAATGATATATATATATATTGGTATCCGTAGTTTGTAAGATATACCTGTTCTCCTCTTCTCTATAGGGAGGGGCTTTTTAGGAGAATTGTTCTTTATATCATCAGTTTCTGTTTGAAAGTGACAAATAATGTGTTATTCTACCTGTACAAATATCAAAACACATTACAGGTACATGTTAAAATAGTATTGATTTCATCTTTTCTTTCTGTGTTCACATAAGATATTAATACTTTTATTCAGCAAGGGTGCATTAAATTGATCAAGAGACAGTAAAAACATGTTACAAGAGATTTCTATTTCGAATAAATGTTGTTCTTTTGAACTTTCTATCCATCAATGAATCCTCATCAATAAGCAGCACAACTGTTTTCAACATTGATACTAATCAGAAATGTTTCTGAACAGCGAATCTACATATTAGAATGATTTCTGAAGGAACTATGAAGACTGGAGTAATGATGCTGCAAATTCAGCTTTGCATCACAGAAATAAATTACATTTTAAAGGGGTCATATGATGCTATTTTAAAGATCATTATTTTGTGTATTTGGTGTAACAGAATATGTTGACATGCTTTAATGTTCAAAAAACACATTATTTTTCAAATACTGTACATTATTGTAGGTCCTCTATGCCCCGCCTCTCTCAAACACGTCGTTTTCAACAAAGCCCCCTCCTTTGACAAGCGCAGTCTGCTCTGATTGGCCAGCTGACCCAGTGCATTGTGATTGGCCGAACACCACAAGCACGCGTGGGAAATGTAACACCCCTTACCATAATCGCGAGCGTCAGCTTTCAAAGTAAATATCAAGAGTTAATAATGTCGTTAGTGTTACCATCAGTTCAAGCCCGAAAGTATTATGCTAATATTTCCACATAGTGAGGTAGATATGTGGGGGCGTGTTAGAACGAGCCGTTTTAGGGGGGCGTGGCAGAGTCTTAACTTTGATAAAGAATATC